AAATTTGTCGTCGTTTTGGTGGCGTGGCGCTTTGGATTTGGTTTCTTTGTTTGGGTTGATGTCGTGGGTTTCGGGGTCCGATGATATGGATCTTGATGCTGTAGGTTGATGGCTGCTGGCGTTTGAGGTGGCGGTGGCGGCGGAGGCTGGCTGATTTTTGCTCTGTGCTCTTTGCTTAGTGCTCGGTGCGTATGTTGGTTCTGTGTTGGATCTAATGTTGGTTGGGGTCCCCATGACCTTTGTTTTTGTTGTTGGCTGGCTGGAGCTTTTGTCGTCGTCCTCGGATACGTCGTCTTGTACAGCGTGGCGATAAGCTCCTCATCGCTCAGCGTCGCTTGGGCTGATGGCGCGGCTCGCAGCTGGCGAAGGCGTCGACTGACGAGGCCTCCTTCTACCGCGGCCTGGATGACCGACGGCCGCGCCTCTGAGGACGCGGCCACTCGTCGGTTGGTTTCGCTTGCGGAACGGCTGGAAAAACGCAGAATCATAACACAACTCTCATAACCTGTAAGAAATTTAGACAACGCAGTCATGTGGCGTGACACGGTCGGAGATGTCTATATGAAAGTGCTATTGCTCCTTCTGTAGGTTAGACCATAGGTAATCTGTGCATAGTGTGTTGTTCAGTTGGTCTAGATCAATAGTCGCTGTACAATTTCCAACAGTACTTCGTAAGAAGCGCGAGCCATGTTACAGTATGGACGATGCCGCGCGGGGATGCCCATATCTACTACCTGATCGACTACATGCTCATCCTGTACAGATAAATACTGGCTTTCCCCACATGGTATCGACACGACGTTGACTATGAAGACTGCACACCAATGGAGTGCGGTCTGTCGGGTTCGGCTACGGGGATGCGATATGTATCGATCGGTGATCAGAAGAAGGCTTGTGTCTAATGTCGAAAAGGCTTGTGCCTATGATTGGCTTGTGCCAAGATGGAGCTTGACGATGGTCAAATCTGCATTAAAAGTGGTGTGTGTGACCCTTGGTCGCATGAAGTGATGGCACTGGGTGTGAACCCAGGTGACGTCGACACCACTAGGCGGGGGCAAGGCGATGTGTGTTTGTGTATTTAGAAGCCCGTTAATGTGAGACTGCACAGCGCTTGTTAATAGCAGTCAGTAGACGTAGTTTAGCTACCGTTGTGCTCTGTAGTAGACTAGCCGGTGTTTAAGGAGTACGCCTCCCTCTGCCTGGTGTTTCACATTCTACTGTACACGAATCGCGTGCTGCTCAATCAACAACCTTCTCGAGGTCGACGTTCCCGACCACAAGCTGCAAGCTTTCACCTACGTATGCGAGTACTGCACGGCCCGCCGCATGCTGCAACAACGGCAAGAATGGCGTCGAGCACGAGTGCCTACCGGATCTTCGCCAGCCTCCTGCAAGCAGTAGTAACAAGGCTTCGGAGTGTACCATCCCCGATGACTTTCAACGAGGACTGCGTTCGCGATGAAAGATGCTTTGTACCACGTATGGATCCGACGGATGCAGAACAAAACCGTGCCTGTGCTCCAATTTGCATCCTCGCTATGCAGCAGATCAATTTCAAGAGCGGGTGCTGCTCACACTCAGGACGCGAGTGCCGCAACCCGATGATCCCACTAGCTACCCAGGCACTTTTGTTGCTTCAAAGCCTGCTGCATACGCACAATGAGTGTGACCATAGGGCCACAGGGCTCATCCACTGGGGCTCACCCATGGTGCTCACCCAAGTGGAGTATAAATTTACACAGGACATTTACGATTTCGCCTCTGAGACTCGATACACAATCAGCACCAGCGACACCGCATCTGCCAACCTTCGCATCCGGACGACAAGCATCCAAAATGTTGGCGCTGCTCCTGCTGCCGCTGGGGCTCGTGGTCTTGTTGACCGTACTTGGCATCGTCTTTGAGGAGAAGAAGCTCTTCGCTGCGCGGTCGCTGGCGAAGATTGCGCTTTTCGGACTTCTCTGGGTGCTCTGTAGCATCCTCAATTTCGCG